TATATTGTTTTAGTAAGTATCCAAAACATACAAGTTTCATTATATAATTTTTCAAGGGATCTTATATCTGTTTTCACTCTTGTATGCTTTTCACACACGTTTCACACAAGACAGATACAAACTTTATAAGATTTATATATATCTTTTCCATATAATATATATATATAGTAACAGGGTAATCGTATCAATCAGTATGAACTGTACAAATACTGATAGCAAGTGAAAAAAGAACAAGCAAAGTCACTTTGTCTACACAAAAATCGTTTGACCACAGAAACCTTCATGAGCACATGATTGAATACATGTGCAGGGCAAAAACAGGTTCAGTAAATAACAACCAGCCAAAATCTGGTCTAACCGATGACAAAGATGTTCTACACAAGATAACAAATCAAGAAGAAATGGCCAAAAGCTCTGCAGGGACTCACCAGATCACCTTCTTCGTTCAACAGAAACAGCTTTGTACACAGCAGCAGATACTCAGACGTGCACAAAAACACTAGAGCCTCCCATACAGGATGATACCCACCCGCCAGGTGTGTTAGCTCACCTGGAAAGACCTGAAACTCGAGTTCCTCCTGCCTAAGGGTTGACTGCGTTCCACCCTCTTTTAATTTACACTACAACTCAATAGTAAAGAGACAGAAAGGGTGTTAACCAGTTTGACCCCGGCACAAAGAAAACAAGTCTTATCTTGGTCCTCTCCGAAACTGGAAACTTTTATTTGTCTTTGATTTTACATACAGCCTTGCTTCTGTTTGGCTAAACATGCTTTTAAGTATACTATAGAAACATATCAAACTATATTTCCTTCTGTCATACACAATGTAACAAAAAGGTCCAGATAAAGTGCTTAGTAAATGCAATACAGCAGTCTTTTCAAAACGTAATAACAACAAATAACCACTAGATGGTACAATCAGCTCACTAAATATTTTCACTGCTCAGCCACCAGGAGCAAAAACTACTTTGGAGAATAGCTGACAGCTTACATTTACATTGTTGCTTCAGTTTGTGTATTTTTTTGTGTGTGTGAGTGTCCCCATCATGACCTCAAGATGTGCCTCAGTGTGCCAGTAAATACAGGGATCAGTAATCTCATCCACTGCCTGCCAGGCAGGGCCCCATTATTCCTCCACAGAGGAGACAGTTTTGTTCTTGATGCTCATTTAGTTAAGGTGGCACACAAAGACAGAAAATTATAATGCTTATTAATAAATCAGATTACAATGGATTTTGAGAAGAAAAAAAGGAATTAATTAAGAGTATTGTAGTGCAATAATTTTGCAAGACTTGAGCAAGTTGCCAGTTGTACACATTATCTGAGCTTTTTTCATTGAACACTTAATTCAACCCTGATCTGCCAAAGAGGCATATAAAGAAAGCCAACTCTGAGATTGACAAAAGCAGATAAAGGGTCATTTCAAGCAGAATATTCTTTTGCAAACACAGCTTTGCAGATGCATGGCCAAAAATCCTTGATAAGGCTTTTTCAGGAGCATTAACGTACCATTTGCCATTTTCCTCCAAGTATACTGAATGGGGACATCTATTACCTGCGTAACCTTCTTACTAAGTTGAAACTAACAGATAATGATAATAAATGGGAAATTAATTGTCCATAATAAT